CACTCTTCCATAGCCTATGTTCTAGGAACATTATTAACTGATGCCCATTCAGAGTAAAATGAATTATAGGAAATTCTTCCCTTAATCCCCCAGGATATTAGCTGAAGTTGACCAGTTATTGCAGAAGGGTTTTCCCCCCTATACATTGGCTGGCTTCCCATGTTGAGATAAGCCACAAACAAGCCACATTGTGGCTTAGCACAATGTGCAAATGCTGTCATTTTATCCTCCCCTCCATATGTAAGAACAAAGCAAGGAGAAATGCAGAGGATCTAGATTATCTGGCATTATAATAATAAGTGTGAAATAGATTTACAAACTTCTGGAAGAGGTTATCTGAATCTAGTAAAAACTGAAGTGTGGGTTTGGGATATATTAATACAAATCATGCTAATAAATGAAACAGCATGGTTTTGCATGTTTCCGATTTCTAATGAATTTGCCTCCCTCCAACAAATCTGAGTCTAAGGGCTCTTCTTCATGTCCCCCCCCCCATCTGTGGCATCAACATGCCCCAGCAACTGTCCCTATGCCATTGCCTTCGTCTCATCTTCAGCCCACAGCTCAGATCAGCTTTACATCACCTTTAGGTATTCCAGTTTTAGAGTAGTGTTATCCCTCTTCTCCCAAAATAATAATTCTTGTGGGCACAGTTTGGCACATTCCACTTTTGTGGTTGATGATGGGTTTGCCAAGCTCTTATTGGACACTTAAGCTGTTTCGAGCCCTCAGCCTCCCCTCTGAGCACTCCCCACTGTGGTTGTTCTACTCGGCTTCTGCAGTCACATCTGTCCGTATGATGCCTGAGGAGCGCTTACTGAAGCCCTTGTCAGAATTTCTGCAGGCTCCTTATATACATAGGTTTAATGCTCTTTTGAAAGTTCTCTAGACCTGTGTTTGAAAAACAGGACTAGCACTCTCAAGAGAGCACTAATCTTGTGCTTCACGGATCAGTTTAAACCAGAAAAGAGAGCTGGTTTCCGCCAGCTGTATTGGGTACATTACAGGTTTTCCACTGTTTCTCCAACAAGGGGTATGGCATACCAATACTTCTTACTGGTTTTGTTAATTTGGTGAGGGGAGCATTGCCACTTTGCTAACTCCACAGGCTACTTACAGGTGCTGCTGGCCAATGGCCACTCACTGCCACACTGCCATATACTTGAAACGCTAGCCATGCACAGAGCTTGTTATCAATCACTCCTTCCCACTTCACCTTCCACCCTCTTCCATGCCTGTGACCTGTCATCCAGGCTATTTTTGGACATGAGCTTAACATTCTTTCAGAAAAGCACTAGACCTCTGTTCAAAAGTAGCCCGAGTAATAGGTGGTAAACAGATGCATAACACTTCTGCAAGGGTGATCTGTTAGTTGGGCAACTTGACATGTGACTAAACTAGCCATTCGAAGCACCGGCCTGTGTTCTCCGTTCACCCCACATTCAGGAAAGCAATGGGTGGCTGCTTTTCCTGCTGGGAGGTGAAGGGGAACTCAGCCAGAGAAATCCACCAACCTCTTGGAAAGAACTGCACCATTCACTGGCTTCATTGCTCAGGCAGAATTGCAATCAGCCATGGCAGTAGGGCAATTTATGCCGGCGTACTTATCTGCCAATTCTGACTGAAGAAAAGTATTTTAACACAGCCATCTGGCTGTGCCCTGAAAGATGTAACAGAACTTCAGCACCCCCAGTGGTCTCTTCTATGTTTAACTTGGCTTGCTTTTGCTGGAACATTTACATTCATGATGAAGTAAATCTATTTTTATGCTCTTTGTCTGATTGGTACTAACCACTGAATTTTGAACTATGTGCTGAAGGACCTTAACCTTTTGAGAATACAGGGAGCCAACTATTTCTAAGAGAGTCTTGCAGAAGGCCTCCAACAGTCATATCAGCTGGAAACTCTTTGAAATATAGTTCCAGCATATCTGGAAGGCTCCAATCTGGGGAAGACACCTGTACAGAAAGATATTTGGGACTCATTCAGGAAAATAGTGAAATGCTCAGAGTTCTTCCTGGTAAGTTAGAGCTCTCAAATTCGGCCTATCATACAAGACATCCCAGTTACCAAAATAAATGCAATTGGGGTATTTATTTCAATACAACCAGACCATCCATACAGCTGAAATGATACACAGGTGCCATAAGACAAGACAAAACAAAACCTAAACCCCTGTGCTGCACAACACTGGAAGACTTACTTTCTCAGAGGTCTGTATTCCCGCACAAAGCTACGTGATGCGCCATGAGATCAAATGTGGATCTGTAGAAAATTCCTTTGTTTCTTTATATATGGATATTGGGAAGCAGGGACTTTCAGCTGCAGCAAACAGCATGTATTTATGTGCCAAACACATGTAATTACAAGGGCCATATTTATGTGAAGATTCAGTTATTAGGATGTTGCACAAGAAGTAAAATTACATTTATTGTATTACTCAAATCTACATTTGAGATTTGTGTAATACAATAAACGAGGGTATCAGTAATACCTTAAGTTTATGCTTACATTCATTCCTTAAAATGGAAGTACAGGAAAAAATGCTTAAAAACAGTGTTTCTCAGCCTTAGCAACTTTAAGACGGGTGGACTTCAACTCCCAGAATTCCCCAGCCAGCATGCTAGTATTTAAGTCCACATATCTTAAATTTGCTGAGATTGAGAAACACCACCTTAAAAGATGAGGGGGTGGGGACTACTGCTCCACCGGTAAGCAAGCCAAAGCACAAATGTGACAAAATAATAAGCCGTGGGAGTTTCCTGTACACATACTTCACAAATCCACACATTGGGAGAAGAGGGCCCTAGTAACAGCTGCCAAGAACATAATCTAAATTCACAAAGTAGAGTTTTTGGGGAAAGAAGCTGAAAGAGTAAAGCAAGATACTTTGGCTGTCCACTTACACAGAAGATTAGCAAATCTGGCAATTACTAGAGCAACAGGCCGGCTGAGTCTTGGCAATCTAGCATCATGTGGAATCCTCTTTCTTCTGATGGATAAATGAAATCTGTTCTAATTAAATCCTGAATCAAAAAGTCTTCTGACAACAAGGACACTTAGACATATGAGAAACAGCTTTTTAAATTTTATTTTCCATACAAATCATGTTAAAAGATTCACAGACTATTCAGTTAATTGGCCACATTATTGTTCACCAACGCTCAACAAACCGCTTCCCCTTCCTTACAGCTATGATGGAGTGTTCTTTCTATTGTGCTCAGAGCCAAGCAAACAATATTTCATGACAAGTAAGTGGAAAGGCAGGACAGATATGAGTTTAACATCTGTGCATATAGATGTGTTTGTCCAACTATGCCATCATTCTCATTTCATTCTCATCTTGTGCCACAGAGAGCTGTGCAATATAGCTCTTAGAAGTATATGTAAACATGTTTTGCTCTCACTTTTATATGCTTATATCACTGCAGAGGTATACATATTTTCTGCAATTGATTTGGACTTTCTTATTTGCTCTCCACCTCTAACTAAATGAGTGTCTGCTCATTTGTTACTTTTCCTACTTGTCTAGAAATATCTGTGCAACTGCCCAATTTGCATTGCAAATCTGCCTCCCCCAATGAAATCCTCTGGAAGCATGGGTGGGCGTGTCTGCCTTTGCAGGTAGGAAGGGAACATTGCTCAGAGGTGTATGAAGGTGTGTTTGTATGAAGGTAAAATCAGGCTTAATCCAGACCAAATTTTTAAATGGGTCAGGCAGCTGTGATGGGAGAAGCCTTTCACTGCTGAGGCCCTGGACAGCAGATGTGGGTCAGGCAATAACACTGGGCCAGATGGTCAAATAATCTGATCTGGTCTAAGTGAGCTTCTTGTATGTTCGGTGTTGTTAGAACTGGAAGAGGACATTCTCTAGATCATGAACTTAGCTAAAGCTAAGCCAGTAGCCACAGCAAATGCTACTTTCTGGAAAAGCAGGGGCAAAATGCGATGCTACCAATGAATCCAGTCTTTAAGCTGCATGCCAATTACAGGAGACACCCTATAACATCCCGATTCTTTCTGCACCTGAATAAATCTCTGAGCTTGCATAATTCAGAGCAGTTTCCCAAACTGAATCTCTGTCTTGAGCTATAAGTTTTCTTACTCCAGCCTGGAGTTCCTGTTATATTAATTAGTCTGGCACAGTCAATCATGTTTATCTTCAAATAAAAACAATGTTCATTTATCCTCAGTATAATCCTTTCATAATCATACGTTGATAGAAAAGACAGGTATAAAAACCTCATTCATAAGGTGAGTGGAAGAAGAAGAAAAAGAAATGGGGGGAGGAAATCTGTGCAAATTGGCACTTCACTTTCGTGTTAACCTAGTGGTATCAGTTGTAATACGTCCGTTTGCGATTTTAGATTTTAATTTCTCAACCAAAATGTGCTGCAATGCCCTCTTTTGCACGCTTCACTTGACATACACGTACAGTCTCTGTATACGGCACATTCATATCCAATATGCATTAATTGTCTGCTTCAATGTCCCATGTTTACATATGTGCTCCCTGCCTCGGCTTTGATGCATGTGTGTGCATAGTGTCTTCTGTACAGATGAGGGAGGCCAAAAGGTATTCCAAGCATATTTATCTTGCTGTTGAAAACTCAGGTTGGCGGAGTCAGATTGGTGTTATTCCTGAAGAAAAAGAAAGACATGGTAATTGAAGAAAAAAATCACACATGGAAGCTGGTCAGTGAAGAAAAACTTGTCTGGATTAAAATATTCCTGATAAGTGGAGAGGTGAAAGATTAAGATCATGTTTTGGGAAGAACTGCCACCCTCCTCTGTATTAAGAATGGTGGAAAATTGCAGTGTGTAGAACGTGAATCTGTGCCAAGTTCTGCTTTCATATAATCACCTCTGTACATTGCAGCTGCGGATAGAACTCAGCACAAGTGATTGTAACATGTAGCATTTCCTGAAGAGAGGAAGTGGCCTTTTTTCCATTGGGCTAACCTCCATGGGGTTGTTGAGAAACCCAACAACCTTGCTTCCTTGCAAGAAAATGTAAATAACCCACCATAGGTGTCCATCAAGTACACATCCAGTACCTGCAATTTAAATAAAGGCTTCCATGGTATTAAGGAATAAAGGATTTTCAGCTGCCCCAGTGCTCTACTCAGCCTAGGAAATAAAATCTGGATGCTATTTAGCCTTTACTCAAATTCATCCAGTTAAATAGCTCACAAGTTCCAACGGCACACTGGGCTACTGCTGAATAGCATGTACCAGTGCATGGGTTTTGCAAGTGTTAAGCCAAATTCTGCTTACCTACGATCTCCATACAGCGGATGGGGATTGTCTCTGAAATAGCAGAGGACAAATCTGCTTTATCTTCTGCATGACAGCCTATCAAGTATTGCTATTGTACTTCATTTTAATATTTTCCAGATTCAACATAGCTCTTCCAACTGTTCTTTATACAGAAGGACTTCCAGGATTTTTACCACCCTCCTTTGGTGTGATCTAATTTCTTGATGACCCTCTAAAAATGCAGTACCCAAATCTAAACACAATACTAGTTGCAGTTCAACCAGTGCCAAATAGTATTAAACTGTTTGTTTCTCAAGTTGATCATTATGTTTCGATTAATGCAACCTAAAATTAGATTACATTTTTAACAGCTGGATCATACTGCTGGCTCATTTTAATCTTATGAGCTACTGATTCACCTACCCATCCCAGCTTTGTCACAACTTTCTATGGATGAAGGTGAAGTCAAGATAATACTTTACTTTTGCCTTATTTCCATTATCTGTTAACTTCACATGATCTTCCATAAGAAGCTGGCCTATTCTTCCTTATTGTTCTTCTTGATTCAAACATAAACAAAAAGCTCTTTCTGGTGCTTCTAAGTATCTCTGACAAGCTTTATTTCATTCTGAACTTTTTTTTTTTTAATTTCACCCTTACAGGTTCAGATGACTCACATCTTGGAGTAATCACCTATATAATCTTCTGTTTAAAAAAAAAAAAACCTCACTCTCTCCTCTTCAGTGAACTTGTGAAGCCTGATTCCATTTTTCCTTCTCAGTGGAACAGTTTACAATTCAGCTTCAATGATCTCCCAATTCCTGCTGAACTTTTTCTTCTCCAGCCTTCATAGACTTGCAACTTTTTTGGGAGCTTTTTAAGACTGTCATTCCTAAAGTTCAGGTACATATTCAGCTATACTCAGTCAATACATTCCTCACTACCACAAATTCCAAAATTACAACACAGCCACCATCCTTCCCAATGTTTGTCTTTTCATCAGTATTGTTCCCCATTGATCAGAACAAACTCCAGAGTACCAGATTCCTTTGTTCCATCCTTTACTTTCTGAGAGACAGAGGGGCCAGCAAGTCAGGAATTTACTGAGATGTTTCAGACTTAGCAGACTTCCAGAAGATGTTGAGAAAGTTGAAAATCCCCTATTAATACAGTAGCTGTCCTCTGTGAAAGTTTTGTGATTTGTTTCAGAACAATGTAATGTGTGTTTTCTGTTGGGTTGGCAGCCTGTTATGTGCTATCTCAATACAATTTTTCTTTCCTTTATCCTCCTATCATCATCCATATGCTTTAATCAGAGTTTCCAATCTCAGATTCATGGATCTCTCTGCCGGTCTCACAAGCTTTACATATACAGCATCTCTCCCCCTTCCTTTTTCCCTGATCTGTTCCTTTTGAAGATATACCCTTTGACTGCAATAAAGTAATCAATCAATGCCCCAAACATATTGAACCACCTTCAAGACTGGCCTTCATAACCACAGGGGTCATTGGCTCCCTTTCAGTAGTACTCTGTTGCAGCACACTCTCAATATATTACCAACCTCTGCTACTTGGTCATATATGCAAGATTTCAATGTTTCTCTTGGTACTGGAGAGAGAGATCCGGATTTCAGATAATAACCATAATTCTTTTCTGCACCATAATTAACATTTACGTTGTACTTACCACAACATGCATGCTGCATGGGAGTTCTGAAGCCAACACGTTTGAAGGACACATGATTGGAAAAGACTGACCTACTCTAATTAAATCTGCTTAACACTCTTGCACTTCATTTCAGGACCATTAAACATTACAAATCTGGGGGCTTTTCCATTGTGCTAAGCTTTTCCTGTTATCTTCCTTTTACTTTATATCCACCCTTTATCTGGTTCTAGTGCCTCAAGTGTTTGCCGGCCCTGAGCTGATCTGGTAGCGGCAACAGCAGAAAACACTCAGTTAAGTTACCTACCATACTTTATGGCAACATTACAATGAAGACATTGTAGGTAATTTAAGTGGTTATTCTCTGCCATATGAGAATGGAATGGAAGCATGTGGAACTAGAATGCTAGCAGTAGCTTAAATGTGCTAGGTACCCACACTAACCCTATCCAGTCTGAAGAAGAGGTTTGCTTGAAAATTGGCTTATTAGTTACCATTTTAGTTGACCCTAACAAGATAATAATTATTATTTTTGATACCCCACCCCTATGGAACATGACCTCCTACAATTTTTATGACCCCACAGATTTTATAGTGCTCTCTGTAGAAAAAGATGCTGCTGTTATTTTCATGCATTCATGTGTATGTGTGCACATTCACACCACCACAAAGGTAAAGCTTTCTCAACTTTCACTTAAGAAGCCAGAGCCAACTGAAAAATGAAAAAGTTACATTTTGTGCTGCTATTCCATACTGTAGTAACTGCCTGGCATTTGTGTCCCTTTTAATCACATCACATTTGTTTCCTAACTTTCCTGCAAGGAGCTCTGGGTAGTGTATATGGATTTCCCCAATTTTATTCCCTCAAGTATCCTAGGTGATACATTCTGAAAAGTTTACTGTGGCTGAAAAATAGCAAATTCTTCTGTCCTTCAGGCTTCAGCTTTTGGGGCTCTGGACAGCATCCATGACCCACAAATAGTGCAGAAACCGAAACTGGAGCAAGAAGCTACATGTTAAGGGCTCAAAGCAGAATTGCTAACCAGCAGAAGTCTAGAGGAGACCGAGGATATTATATACACGCTGCCTACTTCTTCCTGGTCTTGGGGGGTGAGGGGAATTGGTAATTTTAAAACTATTCTCTCCTTCTGACTTCATTCAGAGTGAATGAATCTAGTCTCTCCTTTGGAACAAGTTCTATTGAGGAGAATGGCAATGACATTTTCTCCTGTCAGGTCCCTAATGACAAAGCAGGGAAAGGAAATCTGTGCCTTCACCCCCACCCCACATGCATTTTTGATGTTGCTGAATTACAGCTCCCATCAGCTCCAGCCAGCAGAAGTAGGGGTGAAGATTCCTGGAAGTTCAACAACATCTGCAGTTGCCCACCCCCACATTGGAGGCAAACATAAGCTCTGTTGGTGATTCTGAACTTCCTGTCAACTCCAGTACTGCTTTTCCTCTTGAGAACAAAGGCCTTTGGTCTACTGCAGGTTCATCCAGATCTTCCATGGGAGTAGGGTTTTCTGCACAATACAACACTTCTTCCTTGAAAAAGGTTTTCCATGGTCCAGTTCAGACAGGATCTTGATCTTTGTTCCACACTCCCTTTAGGTGGCATTACTCTCAAGCCTTTCTCTCCATCCACATCCAATTCCCAATCCTTAGATACTGTTAGAATTTTGAAGTAGGATCCCAATGATAATTATACCTGTTGTAAGGTGGGGGTGGCGCATCATGCACCCCTGGAGATGCCATTGCTTGCTCATAAGAAGGAAGCCCAGGTGCAGATTCTGGCTTTGGCTCATCATCAAGGTTGGCAAGGGGAATCCCTGGATACAAATTTTCCTGAAGTCTTCTAAAAGGAAAGAGAGACAGAGGTGAAGAAAGATAGAACGATTCACAGGCTTCTTGTCTGTAAGCCTCACTTAATCAAAACAAAAAGTTTAGCAAACTTTTCAACAGCTGTTTAGAAAGCATACAGGCCGCTTGGAATTTAAGGGAATTTTAGTCCAATCGCCCACATTAGAGGAAAAAAGTTCAGAAAACTATCAATTTCAGAAAGTCTTTTCACTTAATATCCATGAAAGAGGTATGCTGGCTGGGAATGATGGAAACTGTAGTTCAACTGTGTATTTTTAACAACTGTGTAAAAGGGCATACACTTTAGAAAATATGCACACAGCTAAAAATTATCAGATTTATACTTCAATTCCTCTAGAGGTCAGCAGTTTGCAGAATATAAATCCCCATAATGCTGTTATTCACTTCACTGACGCAACAGTTAATCCCTCCTCTTGAATCAAATGTTTTTGACCTCATGTTTACTTGGTGACAACATTGCTAGAATTATGTTCCCCTTTCCCTCCCTTTATTACATAGGTGGGCACAAAACATCTCCCTGTGGATCCTGACACGTACCTGGATCGATTTCTCTCTTTAGCACGGTATTTGACACAATACATGGCCACAACTATGAACATGACAGTAGACACCAAAGCTGCAATAAGGCCAGACACTAGGCCTGCCACGTCCACTCCTGGGGTCCCTATAAAAACAGGTGGAAATGAAGGGTTACTGGGACTCTTGGTACTTAAAACAACAGGAGGTCCTAACTCCAGCATCAATGCTATATTAGGCCTTGCCTCTGTGAACTGAGGGATCTCAGGGAAAAAATCTGGATTATGAGTTATTGGAATAAACTTGGAACAGTGCTGTGTTAAGCGCTTTGGCTCCAGTTCAAATTTGGCATGACTATCTCTTGATACAAGGATGGGCAAACTATGGCTCAAGAGTATGCCCTCCACACTAATTTTGAGATCCCAAAGCCCCCTCTAATTATGGTGCCAAATTTCAGCTGTACCAGTATTGAAAATCAGCAATTTTGGTTTCTTGTTCTGGGATGGGAAACACATGGAAACTGGAATATACAGTGGTACCTTGGGTCACGAATGCTTCTGTTCACGACCAATTCGGGTCACAAACAGCACCGTTCGCAAAATT